GAGAATTCATTTGAAAACAAATTTTTTTTTCAATCTCTTCGCTCTTTCGAAAATTTACTCCTCCCTCCCTAACAGGCGCTAAGGGATGAAATTTGTATCACGCATTAAGTATAAAATGCTCAACACGTTGGCACAAATTTCATCCCTTAGTCGCAGTTAGGGTCAAAGGAATGAATTTTTGAATTGAATTTTTTTTTCCATCTCTTCGCACTTTAAAAAATTCACTCCTCCCTCCCTAACAGGCGCTAAGGGATGAAATTTGTATCACGCATTAAGTATAAAATGCTCAACACGTTGGCACAAATTTCATCCCTATTAGGCGCTAAGGGATGAAATTTGTATCACGCATTAAGTATAAAATGCTCAACACGTTGGCACAAAATTCATCCCTTAGTCGCACTCAGGGTCGGAGGAATAAATATTTTAATTGAGAAAAAAAAATTTTTTTTCAATCTCCGCCCATTGGAGAATTCACTTGGAAAACAATTTTTTTTTCAATCTCTTCGCTCTTTCAAAAATTCACTCCTCCCTCCCTAACAGGTGCTAAGGGATGAAATTTGTGTCACTTATTGAGTATTAAATGCTCAACACGTTGGCACAAATTTCATCCCTTAGTCGCAGTTAGGGTCGGAGGAATGAATTTTTGAATTGAAAATTTTTTTTTTCCATCTCTTCGCACTTAAAAAAATTCACTCCTCTCTCCCTAACTGGCCCTAAGGGATACTCCTCTCTCCCTAACAGGCGCTAAGGGATGAAATTTGTGTCACTTATTGAGTATTAAATGCTCAACACGTTGGCACAAATTTCATCCCTTAGTCGCAGTTAGGGTCGGAGGAATGAATTTTTGAATTGAAAAAAAAAATTTTTTTTCAATCTCCGCACTTTGGAGAATTCATTTGAAAAAAAATTTTTTTTTCAATCTCTTCGCTCTTTCAAAAATTTACTCCTCCCTCCCTAACAGGCGCTAAGGGATGAAATTTGTGTCACTCATTGTGTATTAAATGCTCAACACGTTGGCACAAATTTCATCCCTTAGTCGCAATTAGGGTGGGAGGAATGAATTTGTGAATTGAAAAAAAATTTTTTTTTCCATCTCTTCGCACTTTAAAAAATTCACTCCTCCCTCCCTAACTGGCCCTAAGGGATGAAATTTGTGTCACTTATTGAGTATTAAATGCTCAACACGTTGGCACAAATTTCATCCCTTAGTCGCAGTTAGGGTCGGAGGAATGAATTTTTGAATGGAAAAAAAAAATTTTTTTCAATCTCCGCACTTTGGAGAATTCATTTGAAACAAAATTTTTTTTTCATTCTCTTAGCTCTTTCGAAAATATACTCCTCCCTCCCTAACAGGCGCTAAGGGATGGTATTCGTATCACTCATTGTATATTAAATGCTCAACACGTTGGCACAAATTTCATCCCTTAGTCGCAGTTAGGATCGGAGGAATGAATTTTTGAATTGAATTTTTTTTTCCATCTCTTCGCACTTTAAAAAATTCACTCCTCCCTCCCTAACAGGCGCTAAGGGATGGTATTCGTATCACTCATTGGATATTAAATGCTCAACACGATGGCACAAATTTCGTCCCTTAGTCGCAGTTAGGATCGGAGGAATGAATTTTTGAATTGAAAAAAAAATTTTTTTTCAATTCAAAAATTCATTCCTCCGATCCTAACTGCGACTAAGGGATGAAATTTGTGTCACGTATTGAGTATAAAATGCTCAACACGTTGGCACAAATTTCATCACTTAGTCGCATTTAGGATCGGAGGAATGAATTTTTGAATTGAAAAAAAATTTTTTTTTTCAATCTCCGCACTTTGGAGAATTCATTTGAAAAAAATTTTTGTTTTCAATCTCTTCGTTTTTTCAAAAATTCACTCCTCCCTCCCTAACAGGTGCTAAGGGATGAAATTTGT